AACTAATTATGTAAATTTTTTCAACAAAGGACCATAAAATCACAATTCTTACTTGAAACAGCCAAATCCAGCAGCAAGATGACCAGTAAAGCCCATGGCTAGTCTGGTCTCAACCATTCCACCAATCATCGGATCCAATCCTGATGTCCTTGCCTCCTCAATAATTTCAAGTCCCCCAACAATGCCAACTTTGGCAAGCTTAATGTTAATGAAATCTGCAAGATTTCCTGTTATTATTCTCTTCGCATCAACTAAACAACTATAACAACTCTCATCTGCTGCAACAGATACCCCATATTTGCCTTTCACAATATGGGTAACATGATCATGTCCTTCCCAATCATCTCTATGAACTGGTTATTCAACAAAAAAATTTGGAATTACACCCATTTCTGAGAGAAACAAGTCAATTTAAATTAGTTTCAGTAATCAGAAAAGCCTAAATTCTTGAAATTGAATGCAATTTTATTGGAAAGAGCGGTGGGTTGGGGGTGTTAGAGAGGGATTCAGATACAATCCATGAATCCCCTCTTCATATCAAGTCAGTTGATAAGATGAAGCCAACATCACTGAGTAATTACTGTGCAATTTTTCAAAAACTTACGATGAACCGCACAAATAGCTTGAAGAACCTCTACAATAGCCTCATCGAGGCTTGATAAAGTAGAAAATGTGGCAATTAGGATTGATTTGAGCGATGGTTGTGTGGGGTGGGGTGAGGCACCGATATTCTTCCCGGACACGAGTTTGCTGAAGGACAGTCCATCGATGACTCTGGGCTTGGTTTTGGACATTCTTCCCGGACACGAGTTTGCTTCGGTGTGTAGAATTGAGGGTTTCAGTTGTTGTTTTTTTTGGTATTCGGGATTTGAATTACTTGTGGTTTTTGTTATTGGTTATTTATGGTTTTGTTAATTTGGTGATTGCTTGTTTTATTGAGTCTTTTAATTAGGAAGTGGACTATTTGGTTTAATGATTTTCTTATATTTGATTTTTATGATGCCAGTGTTATATATATATATATATAAAATCTTTTGTATACATGCTTTGATGATGCTCAGATACAAATATCTGGTTAATTTTTGGGACTGAAATGATGCTAAGGTTTTTGGTGTAACTTCATGAGTATTTTTATGTATTATCTTGAACTGGAAATATTTAACATTTGTGAAAAGTAGTAGAGGATCGAACAGTCGCACATAAGAAGCGTTGCAATATGATCTGGTAAACCTGCTACTGCTGATAGCCTAGGCTATTGTAAAAAGGTGCAATCAATGGTCTATTCTCTGCCCTCTTAACATCCATGGCAAAACTCTCCGTCAGGTCCCTAAAATGAAAGCTTGAAACTTTTGTGGGTTTTGATCCAGCCATTGCTTTTGTTGCATAAATCTTGCAAATGGGATCTGGAGGTTTCGAGGGTTTTGGAGGGGTTCTAAGGGAGAGATAGAGAGAGACCCCATTGAAAGCATTTAGTACTGATTTGGGGTTTTAGCGTGGTTGGTTTTTTTTTTTTATTATTATTATTATTGAAGTGTTTTTTTTTAATAAGGTTGATTTTTATTTTTAGTATTTTAAATTGTTTTAATGGATTTATATTAAAAATAAATTAAAAAATATTATTTTAATAAATTTTAAAAATTAAACTTTTAATTGGAATATGAAATCGAAGAGGGAGGATGAAATTTATTGTAACTTTAAAGTGTTTTTAATTCAAGATAATTTTTATTTTATTTTGTTGTTTCTTCATGTGTTTTTGTTTCAACTGTTTGTTTTCATTTCCTGTTGGATAAAATTCTTTTTAAGTCTTCGTAGTTAAGTAAGTATTTCACTTTAATCTTTCTAATTTATAATTCATAAATTAACTTTCTAAATTTAATAAATTATAAACTTATTTTATCAACAATCAATAATCAAATCACTATGTCTAGAAGATATTATGGATGATTGAAACTTTGTTACTAAATAATAATAATAGATATAAACTTGTTAAAAAATCATTTTTATCTAATAATTTAATTTATTAAATTAAATTTTAATATATAATTTATATTATTTTTTAATATATCTCTTTAAATTAAATTTTTTTTAACTTAAAACTTATACAGATTTATATTATTTTATATTTATTTTTTATTAAATAAATAAAAATAATAAAATTTAAATTTTTGACCACTTAATTATTAAAATTTTAATATTCTATCAAAAAATTATTTTAATTTAATAATTTAAAATATTAAATTAAATATAAAAATATAATTTATATTATTTTATTAAGTAGCATCTTCCAGATGTGTGTACATCTGCGGTCTATTTTGAGTTCCATCATGAATGCAGAATATGGGTGGCAGATGCTTATCAGTTCTTGAAATTTGGGTAGAAAATGATGTGGCTCGTAGTTGAATGCCCTCGCAGCCAGGAACTGGTATTCTTCTTTGTAAGGTAAAGCAGAATCAAATAACATGATAAGATTAAAAACAAAAACACTTTTCTTGTTAATATATAGCAGTAGCGGCCATGCAAAGCAACCTTCAAGGCCAAGCCCCAAGCCATGCCTTGCTTGTTTACGTCCATACCTTACTTTACCACAAAGCTTAGAACCCTTTCGATCATGCATGCGCATCTATATATAAGCAGCCGGTGCAAATCTTACCAGCACAAATTCATTAATCATCTTACCTCTTTATAGAAACAAAAAGAGGAGTTCTTATATTCAGTCCTGAGGATCGTAATCATGCCGATTATTTATTCATCGGATTCGGAAAATGAAACAACGCCGCGGACAAAGCTTTTTGGGAGGCAAAGACCGATACGTTCTGTTCTAGGAGGAGGACAAGGTACAGCATGTTTTTATGTGTCCAATCTAGCTATAGTACGTAGTGAGACAAACGTACTCATGTTAGATTATATTCTCAGCTTCATTGTTTCATTGCAAAATCGGCATTTATATCATGTTTCTTAAACTTTGCTCTTGGAATTTGCAGTTGCTGATGTATTATTGTGGGAAAACAAAAAAGTATCAGCGGCACTTTCTGTTGGAATGACTGTATTGTGGCTTCTTTTCGAGGTTGCGGAGTACAATCTTGTGACTCTCTTCAGTCACATCTCCATCGCTGCAATGCTCATTGTATTCATATGGTTTACCATCGCAGATTTCTTCAATTGGTAAATAATTAATCGCCCACATATATGATTTTGCTTATATTTACCAGCAGAATTATACTATTTTCTTGATCACAAAGTTGCAGTCCTAAATCCCAGTCAATAATATCTTTATGTGTTCTTACTTAATTCCTAGCCACTGCATTAATTGGATTGAATCATAAACTATTTTTCAGGAATCATCCCGAACTCCCAACAAGTATTTTAGACAAATCTACATTCCAGGAATTCGCTTCCACCCTCCATGGAAGATCCAATCAGGCCTTGTCAAAGTTCATGGACATCGCACGTGGAAAAGAACCAGCACTCTTCTTCATGGTATACTTGCCATTCATTAACAACAATCATTCTAATTTGAAACAAATTCTTGATCAATTACTGGCACATGACTAACATTAATCTTTGTTTTTTTTGTTCTCTCGTGTATTTGTTATCAGACAATATTCTTTCTCTATATATTATCTGTGATTGGAAACTATTTCACCTTCTTGAATTTCCTGTATCTATGTGAGTAAGAAATTTCTGGCAACTGCCTTCTTAATCAAACATATACTTGCCCCATATCCATGCATATTGTAGGACTAACGAGTTGATTTCTTGTGTGTCAAGGTTTTGTTTGCTTGCAAACTCTGCCATTTCTCTATAATAAATTTGAGGATGAGGTTGACAAGTATGCTGGGAAACTGATTCGACGAGCTAAGAAAATGTTTAAGAGGTTTGATTCCAATGTTCTTAACAAGATACCAAGAGGGCCTGTGAAAGAGAAGAAAACCAGATGAAATGCTATTTCTTTCCACCGAAGATGAAAATTTGTAAATAAAAAGGTGCTTAGTTTAATTTATATGTATGCTTGTGGAAGTTTGTTATCATAGATTTGCAAAGTTGGTTCCTTGTGTAATGTAAATATGAACAGCAATAAAAAGTTGGGATTTCTCTTTTTTTCTTTTAATTGTTCATTCTCATAAGTATTTGTATATTCGTTTTTTTTTCTCCAGAAGTAAATTTTATTGCTCTTGTGAAAAAGATTGCTAGACCAAAAAAAAATTAATTTTTAAAATAATAAAAATTAAAAAAATTATTTGAAGAACTTGACAAAAACTTGAAAAACCAGCAGATTGAAAAACTTAGAAAATCATCCTGCAAAACTAACCTATTTCATTGGCATGAGCATATTTCTATTTACAAGGCTTGGTTTTAGGAATATAATTTGTTTTTCTTGGTTTTCTATTTTTTTTCCGTGTTTTTATGTTTTCTGATTTTTTCTTGGATTTTTCAGGATATTTTCATTCAAAAGGGACACAAGGTATGCATCAAAATGCTAAAACAAAAACGTTTGAGATCAAAAATGCCAACTAATTAACAAGATGCATGCTAATGCTTGAAAAATGCATTAATCAACATAATAGTAGCTAGGAAATTATCCAAAATTAATTAATGCTTGAGAACCAACTAATATTTGTAAAGATCCAACAGTTTTTTGGAGTTTTCCAATGATGAAGGAACTTAACCCATCATCCCCAAATCCTAATCGGCTTCTACAAGCTCTATAATACTCCAAAGTATTGTTTAATAAATAATTTAAATAGTAATAAACAAGATATGAATAGGGTTTCCACTACTTAGGCCAGTAGTTGCAGCCTTCCCAAGTCAACATCACTAGAAAATAAAATTATTAAGAGCAGCTAGTGACAGTCGATGCCCAATTTGAAGGAGGGCAAGTGGAGGCAACAGACCTCACTATGACTGCACGATCAGGATTTAGCTGTCACAAATTATGTGGCAAATTGGCTGTGATGTTATAGTTCTTCAGCAAAATCATCGATCTTAATGAGAACAAAGAGTGGGAGCATGTGCAACACAAAGTATTCCTCTTGGAGCTGTGCTTGGTTCCCACTTCCCACTCCAAAAGACATACCCCATATAGCTAGGAATTGAGAGATCGACGGCGAGGCCTTTGACAGAAGTGCTCACAGAGGATGGAAGTGGTGGAATTGATGGTTCATGCCTAGCTAGTAGTGCTCTTGCGAGCAGTTTTGCTAACCCTTTGTCTACTTTTAGCCATAGTCTTCTCTTTTGCAGATGGTGTATCAAAGAACAAATCATCTGAAGCTGATTCAGCCATTTATGGTGGTGGGTGTGCTGTTGGATTTGGTGCAGCCTGTGGTGGATAACAGTTCTTACTTCTGTCTTCTCATACTGCAAGTATACCTAGAAAAACTTGCAGCTTTTGTACACTGTAGTGGTCAATTGATCGACTGGGCTATATAGTTCAGAAATTCAAAGCAACAGTTGTTCGTTGTCATGGCGATGTTACGGATATATCCCACCAATCATGGAAAAGAATTTTGAAGTCCATTTATAGTAGCTTTAATCAATAATTGGTACTTTTGATTTTTTCTGCTCAGAGGTAAAAGTTGTACCCTCTTTTGTATGGCGTTTCTGGGTAAATTTAAAAAAATTTTATTTAAAAATATTTTTTTATATAATCTTAAATTGTTTATATGTAACAATATTAAAAATTAAAAAAATATATATATATTTTGAAGCGAAAATCAAACACTACTTCACTTCTAAACAATCAAAACCTTACCCAGCAGCCAAAATTGTCTACGTGGTAGTGGGAAAAAAGTTATATATATATATAAGTAAACTGCAATGACTGACAATAATGTCAAGATGGCCGAGTTGGTCTAAGGCGCCAGTTTCAGGTACTGGTCCGAAAGGGCATGGGTTCGAATCCCATTCTTGACAGTATATTTTTCCTACTTTTTCCCCTTCACGTGAATTTCTTAGGCTAGTCGACTAAAGTTTAGAATTTCTCCTTTTTGTCCCTTACGGAAGGTCAGTTATTCTTACTACACAACCTTTTAATTACACCTTCAAAAAATTGATATTTATAACATTTGGATCCATAACCATATCCAATTCTAATCACTTATTATTGTTTTTCTCAAAATTGGCAAACATTTTATTTTGTATCATGAATTATTATAAAAAAAAATGAACTGTAATTTTCAAGCATGAACCCCATCATTATCTATGCTCAAAATTCAATTTTATTAAAGCAGAAACTACATATCTTTTGCAATGCTATGTTTTTTGTTTATTGCGACTATGTTTATAAACACATTATTTTACAGAGATGACAGCGAAAAAAAAGACAGCGGCGGCTAGAACATAAACAAAGTATAGTGAAGAGCAGCTCTCTTAGCTCACCACCAGCCACTACTTTTCCCCTACCCCTTTATCTTTTTCTTCTCCTTCTTCTTTGTTTTCTCCTTTATTTTCTATATTCTCCACTGTTTATATGAAATGTGAATAGTGG